AAGAACCAAGATACTCATGTAATGGTACAAGATCCCAATGATGAATGTAACTGTATTTTATACCTAAAATGTACCAGTAAACTTAATGGGAAAAAAAAAGAAGGAGATGTCTGGGAATATTCAGTTTATTCCTACTGCAGAAATGTTTCTATTAAGCTGACACTTTTTAAAAAAATGTTAAATACCATATTGCATATACAGCCAGAATGCTTCTAAAAACACCAGACTCCTTTGTTCTATTTAAACCTCTTAAAATATGAAAAGATTAATGTTAGGAATTCAAAATTTTATCATGAGATATGTAATTTATTATACTAACTCCAGGAAAGTGTTGTATTCTATCAAAATAAACATCTGTGTAAATTCTATTGACAGCTGCCTTTATCTCCATAAAAATTATAGCAATTCTTCTATAATGTCAATAACAAAGACACTTTAGTTTTGTAGGAAAACAAATCAGGAATATATATATATATATATATATATAAGCTAATTCTCATTAGAATTTAGTATCTACTACAATATTCACAAGCTTTGACATAATATATCATTAACAATCTGTTTTATAGATCCTTTTCTTTTTTTACTTCTTTTTGGTCATACTAAGGATTGAACCTAGGCCCTTGTGCATATGCAGCAAGTGTTCTACCCCTGATCTACATCCCCAGTCCTTTATTAAAATTTAATTTTGACATAAGATCTCACTACATTGCCCAGGTTGACCTTAAACTTATGATCCTTCTACCTCAGCCTCCTGAGTAGCTGGGATTACATGCATGTACTACCACACCTGGCTATAAATCCTTGTTAATAAACAATACAATCTGCTCCCTAGGGATTAAAAAAATTTAAAAGCCAACTAAAGTATTTAAGCAAGAACTGTATCGTGTAAAGTGACATTTGGCATATTTAGAGAGGAGTACTTTATAAATATTCCAAACAAGGAGATTTAACTGCAATTTGCACTTTCCAAACCTGGCGTGACTGTTCCCTGGCCAACCCTCTTCCTTCTTTAGACAAGCTCCCTAAAGTTTAAACTGGAGACCACTGGACCTGTGGGGAACTAAGGGAAGTCTGTCCAAGCTCTTTTGGTGAAGAGGTCCATGCTCCTTCCTCTGCTCCGGCCTCTGCTTACTCCCACGGGTGACCTTCTTCAGGAAAAGACTTTCGGCTCTGTGTGAGGTGCAGTGGGGTCACACCACCTTACACTCACTTCCCACAGCCATGCCCTATGTTTTGCCCTGCAGCTGAGCAGGGTCTCCTTTCTACCTCACAGGAAGGCTGCTGTGTTGAAATAACTGTAGGCATTGTCCCAAAGAGGTATTCATGAACCCGTAATACTAGATTCCACCCTGGCTTCCACCAAATTGTCTTTATTCAGATGTCAAGCAAAGCCGTCAGAGAGCAGACAGAAATGTGGGGTGCTGTCCCACCACTGGGTCCCCAACAGTTAGGGCCTGGTGGGCCCCAATCCGTGCTTTCCTGCAGAGCAGCTGTCTTACCGTCCAGCCATGGATCACCACGAAGGTTTTGCTGCTGTGGTTGAAGTGGCAGTTAGCCACAGATTCTGTCACTCCAGGAATGAGGTGGCAAGTGTCCTCAGCTGTGTCCTCGGGGGTCCTTAGGGCAAATTTACTTTCAATGTCCATAAAATCTCTTCCTCCTAGTGGAAAAGGAAAAATTGGATTGGTGGTTAACTGGAGGATTGTTTTTATTTACTGGAATGGTATATTTTAGGTTCACAAGTAACTACTCCCGATGCTATGTTTGTTTCTACTGTGTTTTTGTTGCTGTTGTTGTTGTTCTTTGTATGTTTTTAATGAATGTAGGTTGCAAAAGAAGGACAGATGCTCCCATTGTGGCAAGGTGGGTGGAGATGACTTTGATAGTGAAGCAGCCCTGATCCATCTGTTGTCTTCCAGCCTCTTCAGCAAGCTACCACTGAGGGTGGGTATGTGTGTGTCTGCAATTTCATGCAAGTAAACTGCTGTTTGGGGGTACCTTAGTTAAGTCAATCTTTTCAGAAGACATGAACTTGGGGCCGGGGATTTAGCTCAGTTGTTTCGCTGCCTGCTGCGCAAGCGCAAGGACCCGAGTTCCATCCTCAGTACCAAAAAAAAAAAAAAAAAAAGAAGAAGAAGAAGACATGAACTTAAGTGAGTTGGTCAAGGTGGGAAAGACAGGGAAGACCAGAATCCAGGTCTCACAATTCCAGTCTAAACCTCATTCTTTCAGGTAATATTCGCTCATTGCTCTTATACTGTATAGTTCCCCTTATTTTGCCTTCTATGTCACTTCCTTTAAATCTGATTACATAATGTGTTTTCCCACAATATTATAACATTAGGCTTGTTCAATGGAATATCATTTCATTTTCACTAGAAAAAATTTTAAATATTAGCCAAAAGAAAATTGGGAACATGAGGAAGATTTTATATGAAATTGTTTCCACCCCATAGAAATATGCACTGGTATCATTAGTGGATTGTTCAGAAACCTGTGCAGTAGATAAGCCCTAGCTAATTCTTTCCCCAGCTATTTCTTGTCCTGTTTATGTCACTAGAATCTTCCCCACAAAGCCAAAGCTTAAAAGCTGCAGCAAAGCTGGTTGTAGAAAGAACCACCTTTGGTTCTTAACAGCTAATGCCAGACTGGATAAGGACAAACACAGAACTTAGCTTTTGAAACTATGGACAAGAACTCTAAATGTTGATAAATCTTCATGGGAAGTTGTACATGGTACATAGTATATCACACCGGGCACTTGCAGTAAATGACATTGCAAATGCAATTAGACTCTTCACAAAGCCAAGCACAGTCAGAGGGAAACTGTATGACAGGAAATTATCTATTACTTGTCAAGTTTAAAAAGTGAAAAAAATCCTACTTTTTTATTATTAAAAGGTAATAACTTATAGATTTGCCATTCAAAACTTTTAGGAGGTGGATAAATAAGGTTACCAGGAACAATTCTAATTTCCTCATCTAAATGTATTCCTTTTTCACAACCCAAAATTTGAAATCTGTAATTTCAGAATGACATTGCAAAACTTAGGCCATGAAGAAGGGGTAAGACATTTGAATCAAGCTCATGTAATTAGCTGGCCTGGCCAATGCTTTCCTTTTTTCAATAAATAGTTCCCCAAATTCCTTACACAATATAATAATATGTGCCTCAGTTCATGAATGCTTCTGTTCGTGAATGGGAGTGTTGGCAAAAATTTGCTTCTGTTTGCAAACTCTATATCGAGTAAAGGACAAGACTGCAGCCATCTTTCTCAGAATCACTGGAATGAATTAAGTTCATGAGCTGAGGTAACACTTTATTGTGATTGCTTGCCAAGTGATTCATTGTATGCAACAAGTTGGTCTCACACATACACACACACACACACACGCACACACACACACATACATGCAAGCACCCCTAAACTACCTAAAATGTAGGAGATATTTTTTCATGATTATATTGATTAGAAAGAAGTGAGTTTTGTTACAGTTGCTAAACCCTCTAAGATCTTTTATTCAAATAAGAATCTGTGTGAAATTACTGATTCTTCAAACTCTTTTCATTTCCACACAGTACAACTGTCAAATCCCTCCATCCACCAGTAGTACCCTCTGCCTCTCGTTTTAAGACACAGACCTCTTCTTCCTTTCTAACTAGAAAGTGTTGGCTTGATTAGTTAGGGAAAAAGAACATTGCATATTTTTAGTCTAAGTTTGCTTTCAGAGCCCAAAGAAGTTCTTTTATTTTTAGAAAGTGTCTTAGAAAATGTAAAACTAATCTCACTTGTTCCCACATCTCTCCACCTCAAATAACTCGTACCTCCTCCCTACCAGTCTTATTTTAACATGATTGATTATCAGGCTTTTAAAAGTAGAGATCTATTGTTACACTGTCATCTAAGACAATTGCTTTGTACAGTTCCAGAGATGCCATTCACTTTGGTCTACCTTCCCTGGAATTGTGCAACTTGGTGACCCTGGTATTGATGGTGGTTTTGAAATGACCAAGAAAGTTCTCTGAAATCACTAAGGCTGGCTTTGTGTATTCCCATGAAAAAGAAAACAGAAAAAGTCTGTTCACTCTGCAGATCTTCTATCAGATTATATGTATGGCTCACTGACAGCTTCCATTTCCTACAACATTACTGTTGGTTCTGTTGCTTGCGGAGAAAAATAGAAGAAAATTCATACATTCTCCAGCAAATCTGTATTTGGAGACCTTTAAAGGAAAGGATTTTTCATTTCCAGTTAGAGAGGAAAATAATGTGACACTGTACTATCTGATGGTTTCACTGCTATGTCAGATATGAAGTCATAAATCTTATTACATTCTATCTGGTGTCCTAATATGAGATTTTATATCGCCTGTGTTTGCAACCCTTCAAGGATATTGCAGAACCCTAAAGATTAATGTACTTCTCCAAATCTCTGTCATTCCTCACCCACTGATTTAGGCCCGTAGAGACAGGTGGGAAGAGGGACCCACCTGTGGGTCAGTCCATGTGCTTGGCTGTCTCAGTGCATGCTAGGATTGCTACTGGGGTGGTGCATGAGCTGACCCAATGAAGCTGCTACTAAGGAAACTGTTGTTTCCCACACATGGCACTGATATTAGTGACTCCACACTTACCCAACTGCATTGTCTGTTACCAGATACTTTAGAGATTAAGGCCATGATAGAATAGAGGAAAAGAAAAGGAAGGAAGGAGAAAGAGAGGAAAGGAGAGAAGAAAGGGAGGGAGGAAGTGGGGAAGGGAGGGAGCCTGAGGTATAACCATTTATAAAGGCCTCCATCCTGAATTTGACTTAGCACGTCCATGTCATTTGCCAACAGAGCCCCTCAGACATGTTCTTATGCAGCACTAGGGGGAGATTCTGGGGTACCACAAAAACTAAAAGTTAATGCATTTGGGGCTATGTAATCTTTATTCCTAAGTTTCTAAACAGCTAAAAATCTGAGTGTGTAAACAAAGGGATCTTGTGAACTGGTTAACGGAATATTTTCCTTGGGTGTCATCATGTAGATATATCTAAATTCAGATTTTCTACATCGAAATACGAACTTCTTGTATTGATAATCAGAAATTAACTTTTTGAGAGAGATGGCAAATAGAAATATCTGGTTGCTTCAAATGAACACAATGAAAGTCAATTATTACCTTGCTAACAATTGTTTTTATTGGAGAGAAGTCTGAATAAAGTGTGGGGCTCTATTCTTTGAATTAAAATGTAAGTACTAACTCCTGCTTTTTTCCCACCATTGTTAACTTTGCAAACCAATTTTTTTCAAAAAGTAAATTACTGGTTTCACAAAAGCTATATCATGGATGGAGGGGCATTGAGAAACACTAGATTCAGAGTCATTTACCTGTCCTCACTACTATCCCTCCAGAAGTGTGACCTTTCATGTTATTTTCAAGCTTCTGTAGACTTATGTATCATGCTTAAATTAATCTGAACCAGAACAGTATTGCATAGAAATAGACTTCATCATCTGAGAGAAACACACATATGAACTAAACAAAAACAAATATGGGGGCTGGATTAGACCAAGTGTAGCCATGCCAGATGGGTCATCTTTTTTATATTCCACTGCCAGTTAGCAAGGGGGATATTTCCTGTTATTCATTCAAAAGTAAAAATCACTAAACTACCCAGCATACAATTTGATCATTGTGAGAGAACAGATTGGGAAGAGCAAAAGGAATATGTTGACACAGTTGAATGAGCTAATTTCCAGTAGAACATTAAATATATATTAAACTTTATATATGACTCTCTTGGGTGATCATATATATGGCATGGTCACCCATTTCGGTCTTTCTTCCTAGCAGATATTTATTTCCCCTAGAAAAATGAGCACTCAAAGGCTATCACTCCATAAAAAAGCCCCCCATTTTCAAAATCGCCTCAAGATAGCAATATGAGGTCATATATTCCAGCGAAGAAACAGCCCACAGTGAATTTCAAACCCAGCTTCTTGAGTAAACTGGAGCTCTAATATATTACTGCTTCCAAAACTAACAAAGCCTTCAACTTTTGCCATGAGAGAATCTGACAAGAACCACTTGTCAAAAAGATGTACTACCAAGGGCCAGGGATTCAGCTCAGTGAGTTTGATTTCTGGTACCAAAAAGAAAAACAGGTACTACTGAGTTTAAAAAGTGTCATTGATAAAAAACATTTAGTTCACTGTGGTGATAAGCTATGTTTAGCGAACTGAATGGCTCCAAAACTTTACATTGATATTTGCTGTCCTTGCTATGGAAGTTGAAAGATATATTGTGAGTAAATTCAAATGGTATCTACCCAGATATGAAAAATAATGATACTCAAGTCTTGAATACTTTCCTTACACTTTGGGACCCAAACTCATCCCCAACCATCATTCTGATGACCAACACATCTTCACATTTAACCAACGCAACCTTGTGAGTCATAATGTGGGGATATATGATGGTACAAAAAAAAGTGGCACATTTCAAGACACTTTTTAAAAACAATGTGACCCAGTAGAAGCACTAAATTGTATAGTCCAATTTCTCCTCCATAATACAGCAAGAATGTAGGGCTGAGCTAAACATACACTGTTTCAAAGAAGGTGGAAAACATTCCCCATTGCAACTCATTCCCTTTACCGGACTCCCACCTTTCAGTACCACTGTTAATCAGTCACTCCCTTGCTGAGCTCTACTCCAGCGACACTTGCTGTTTATCTCTCATCAGCCGTTGTGCTTAACTCAGACATTAGCCTGGAAATTCATTATGGCCTGTGAAATAGACTTGCAGGGACTGAGCAGGAGCCCCATAGACTCCCCTCCTATCTCTTTAGGTTTCCTGATTGGGGCCAGGAACCCTGTAGTGGTCCGATCCAAGAATAAAGAACCTGACAGCAAAGCCTCTAGTCTGCACACTGTTCCTAGAAAGAAATCAAGTATGATTAAGGAAACTCAGAGCCCGAGGGAGGAGCCGATCACTCCCCAAGCTCCACCCTTCTCACCTTGGCACCGGTGCACTGCAAAATGAATTCCTCTCCTCTTCGGGAGAAAGGGCTGGAAAGTTGCTCAGATGGGAAAGGCATAACATAAAGAGTGGGTGGAGCAAAAAGGGTCGGAGTGAGAGGGAATTATATCAAGTCTACTTAGAAATAATCATCCCTAAGACATTTTACAGCTGGGAAAATCACAAGTTGGTTAAGATCCAGTTTAATTAAGTAGTCACTGACGTGCCCATTTTAAATCAAAGAATGAGAGAGGCCCCAGCGAGTTTTCAGTCCTGTCAACTCCTGATTTTAGAGTTGAGGAAGCTAAACTCTGAGAAGTAACACCTACTAACCCAAAAAAGTTAAGATCCGTGAACTTTTAAAAGAACTCAGCACAAACTTAAAATGTGGTAACACATTTTCTGTGTATGTTTTCCAATGCCGAAAATTGGGCTGGTCAATTTCCTGCTTCTGCCTATCAGATTGTTCTAGAAGTCGCCTTGGACCGTGCCACATTGTACTGGGGTCCGGCTTCCGGGGCACGAATTAGTAGTTTGTTTTACCAGTTCTGGGTATGGATATAGCGCTACCGGAGGTGTAGAATTCCCAGCGTCCCCAACACGATCTGATTTTTCTAAAAAACAGTATTTGTCTTTGTATCCAATTCTGCTTTGATGGAATCTCTTCCTTTCTCATCTACCTGAAATTGTTCACAACTTAATGCAGAAATTTAAAAAAGCTTTCAGGCGCAGTCACCGTCAGACTGGACTCAGATTTGAACCCCTGCGGTCGTCCGCCTGGGAGCACATCCCAGGGACCCCACCCTGGTGCCAATTCCCCACCCGCAAGAAGAGGAAATGCCGTCCTTTTCACGACTGGCTCCAGGTGCATTTTAACTTGCTCCCGTGTGTCAGCTGAACCAAGGTTCAAGGACCTAGGCTCGCGACTGTGAGCCGGTCTCCTGCTGGGCTTCCCGCTCCGCCACAATAAAGAAAGTCCCCTGCGGCCCCGGAGGTTTTCGCCCGGGCCAGGCGAGCGAGCAGCGCCCGGGTGCGGGCCGAGGTGACGCCTGTGACTTCTCCGTGGCGCCGCAAATCCCACGCGCTCGCAGCCACCCCGCGGGGCCGCGCGTCCCTAGCGAACCTCCGCACTAGGACTGGAAGGACGGCGGTGCGGAGCCGGCACCCCCAGGTCATCGGCCTGGGCGGCTGGTCGCTGCGCACGCTTTCCAAGGACACGCTCTCCGCTAGCGGCATTCAAGCGTGGCGTCTGGAGGCTGCCTTGGGCTCGAACTCGGGCTGCGTCCCTGGGTCTCAGCGCCACGTCCCCCCCCCGCCAGCACCCTAACTCTCACTCCCGCCCCCAGGCCAGAGCGCGGGGTTCCAGACAGCGACACCGCCAGTACAACTAAGGATCGGACAACGCCCCCCCGCCCGTGGGGGACTTCCCCAGGCGCTCCCGCTGCCTGCCCAGACTTCCAGCGGCGGGGGCCCTGCGCCGGTCACCTCGGCCCGCACGCCCTTCATTCCAGCCCTGACCCCCACGGAGAGGTTACTGCCGGTCGCCGCCACCGCGCTCTCCTCCCGCCTTCCGCGGCCCGCGCACCACAGCCCCGAGCCTCCCGGTGGCCGCGCCCCGGAGAGGGGACAGCGCGGGAACCCGGGGGAGAGAAAAGGCGGGAAAGGGAGCGCCGTCCGCCGTCCGCCGCCCCCCGGCTCCGACTGGATCCCACTCTGGTGACCCCTCTTAGGACCAGTGCCGGGCTGGGAGTCTCCACGTAGATGCACATCCCAGAAGCCCCTTCCAACTTCTTCCCAGCCCCAGCTGAGGTGGAAGCTGGCCGGGTCTCCAGGTGGAGGGGAGTTTGAGAGCAAAACCTACCGTTGGCGGCGGCTACCCCTCCCCGGGAGGCGGTCAGACTCTGGAGCCACGAGCCCAGGAGCACCAGGAGCAGAGCCTTGCTGTCCATCTCGGCGCAGCTCTCGGGCCGGAGCTGCGCGGGCGGCGGGTGCTTGGGCTGAGCGGGAGGCGGAGAGGGTTGGAGCCGCGGCCGGGCTCGGGGAAAGTGGCCCTTTAAAGGGGAGGGCAGGACAGCTAGAAGGGGCAGATTTCCTCCGAGGGAGGAGGAAGCAGAGGAGGAGGAGGAGGAATTGAGTCTGACACCGTTTTCACTCCGGGGCTGCTTAAGTGACTGGAAATATGCAAATAAACCTCATCCGCTATTGGCTATAAACTCATAAATTGGGGGGAGGGCCCTAAATTCACGTCCAAATATTTGAGCAAACTGCAATGAAGATCAACCCTGCCAGCGAAAAGAGGGGGAAAGGGCAGAGAGGGAAACGTGCTCCTGGCTCCTGCTTGCCTACCCATAGGGGTTTACTCCCCAAGGCTCCTTGTGTGGACACCAAGTAGATCTACATTGATTTATTTAAATCCTCAACAACTGCCAGTTTGCCAAGGAGAAAGAAGTGTTCTTAAACTACGTTTGGTCAACAATTTAATTCACTTCTCTTCGGATGGATCCTGATTGTTAACTTGCAGTGGCGTCCCCTCCCCACATAAGTCAACAGGGACCCACAGCGCTCCGCAGCTTGCGCTGTGCACAATGTGGTATTTTAACTTTAGCAAGACAGATTAGCGTGTATGGTGGAGAAAAGCACACTTGCTCTAATTTCTAATTTTCACCTCATGCAAATTATCCTCAAGGATAATTTCCATCGAGGAAAGCACTAACAACATTTTATGGTCAGAGTCAGAATATCAAAGCCAAACAATTTTAAAACGATATTGAGTTCTAAATGAAAGAAGAGAGTCACAGAAGATACATGTTGTGTGGTTCCAAATCTATAGAGGAAGAAAGGAGAGTAGTGGCTGCCTGGGGCTCAGGAATACAGGAGAGGTTGGATGGACTGGGGGATGTTCTAAAGTTACATCACTGGGATGGTTGCACAACCCAGGAAATGTACTAAAAACTACTGAATTGTGCTTTTACAATGAGTGAACATTAAGCTATCTTAAAAAGTGGATTGAGCCATGCACATAAAATAAGAAGAAAAATAAAATCACATTGGATACTGTGCCTTTCTGCCAAAATGCTAAGAATACTTTCAGATGAAAAGGATTTACATTAGCTGTGAAGGACAATTAACTCTATACTTCCTGCCTTATGGATGCGAACCTGGCTCATAAAATCAGAACTTCCAATTCACTGTCTTTACTGCCCTGAATATCCTCGTCTTTCCCTCCGTAATGCACACGCACAATGTACATTTGTAGGTGAGGATGAAAGGCGATGCAATTTAAACTAGGCTCAATTTTAAAGTTTTCTCAAACAGTAAAATAAGAGCTGATAATGCCCCCAAAACTTAAAGTTTGCCACTCTGTGGAACAGAGCACTGTCTTTAAATTGGTGCATGCAGTGCCACTACACAATGTATTGCAACTATTAAACAATAGTCCACATTCATTCTGTCCTCTGAAACATGCAGAGACTCTTGAAATCTGCCAAGAATCAACCCCACAGAACAATTTAGAAGTGGCAGAACAGACCACCTGGATGGATAACTGTGACGTAGATGTCCTCCAGGATGAACTCACCCGCAGCAGCTGGGCCTGGGCAGAGCACATCGCTGGGCTGGCTCCTCTCCCGAGCCAGTGGTGGTCAGGTGGGTGTGGCGGCAACGCTGTCTCCTGATTGGCTGCGCCGAGAGGGATCAGGCGCCTGAGTTCTCACGCAGAGGCTCAAATGAGCTCAGGGTCAGGACTGCATGTGCGTTAGAGAAGGGAATCCTGTCCAAGCTTTGACAAGGATATTATTTGGCCAAGGATAGCCGGAGGCTTGCTTGGCTTTTTCCAAAAGCGATACTTCATTTGTAAGAGAATTTTTTTAAAAAATTAACGATGCTAAGCATTTTATAAACGTTTAAGAAAGCATTATATGTAGGGTATGGTATTTGCACCTGATAGACAATTAAAAAATGTGTAAGTAAAAAATTTAATATAGGTACTTAGTGAAACAACTGGATTTCCAGATATGAGAAAACATTATCCACCTATTATTCTGACTGCCCACCTGCCATTGGCACACACTGGGCACTTTTCATCCCTTTCTGCATTTAATCATTACAAAAATGCCAGAATTAAATAATATTCTCACTGTACAGATGAGGGAGGATGAAACTCAAAAAAGCTTAAATAACAGTAACCATAAATCATAAAGTGTTTTTTTTCTTTGATGGTCACAGGAAAGAAATTGTATTTAAATACGATAAATTTTAATATTGCTGTAATTGCAACATTGCCAGAAAGACTGGCAAGCAGATGGGGTTTTTTTTGTTTGTTTGTTTACACGCATATTTTAGTGCAGATTTCATTTTGCAGCTTCCTTGCTAAGCCAAAACATGAAATGTCTAAATGGACTCGAAGAGCATCAGTTCAGGGGTGGATCTGGTCTCTATCATAAAAAATTATATTTAATGCAGGAAAAAATATAGTTCATACAAATAAAATGTACAAATGAAAAACTATCAATATAAATTTTTAAAATTTATTGACTTTTTAAATAAGAAAAATCTGAACCAAGATGTTTACCAAAAATTACTGTTAAGGAACTTCCAGCACTGTCCACCACAGTCAAGCATTGTTACACAGTGGACAGAGAGAAGAAATGCACACTGATCTGAACAGAGATGGCAAGGGACATGTTATATCTGTGACACCAGTGAGGGGAGGGATGAAGCCCAGGTCATCAGCTATGATCTGGAGCCTTAGGATGGAACTTTTCTATTGAGCAGGTGATGGGTGGAGATACTAGAGTTTCAGTCCCCTTTTTTATTCCAGAACTCAACAAAACTATATTGAAGAATCCCAAATAACAAATATCAGGAATATTCAAGTCAGACACAATACAGTCCATTTGGTAAAGTTGAGTTTTGAGGTCTGGAAAAGTTAAAAGTACAAGTAAAATTTTACATTTAGTCGATTTCCTAGTAACCTTTCCTAGTAACCTGAGTTAAAGAATCAGTGCTATTTTGTTTGCTTGCCCCAGGAGGAGCATCATGGAGTGAGGGAAGAATTGCTCCAAACAAAAAGTTATCGTAAAATATTCCAGACAAATTTTAAGGATTTTAGTTGTCTAATGTTAGACACACAATTGCCTCTTCCAAAACTAATTTAAAAAACCAATGACAACAAAATATACATACACAGATATATCTTAAAGAGAAAGAAAAAATCATAGTTTAAAAATCATATTGAAAAGATTTGTCTGAATAAAGTTAAGAAGAGAAGTAAAAGATAATTTTTAAGAAGAGAATTTTTAAAAATCTGAAAACCAGTGTATTGCAATAGAACATCCAGGAACAAGGCTTTCTGATGAGAGGAAGAGGATCAAACATCCCGGACAGAGCTGCCACTGAACAGCCACAGGGGACAACGACAAGCCCCTTCCTAGAAGACAGCTCGTAAACCCTAAAAAGGATGCCCCACGAATAAAACAGACTTGATAATCTATGTTCTTTTACAAATAGGTTTCCCCTTTTTTCAAAAGACAAAATTAAAAAGTCTGAGTCCATGTGAGAGGTAAAAGGAGAGTCTCAGTGAGACCTACTGAATGACTTGACTGCATCACGAATTCTTCCTGCTGAAGGTTTCACAGAGAGAACTTTAGACCCAGCATCCCAGGCCTGGCTGGAAAGGAGCTAAGCTCACTTAGCAGAGCACATGCGTGAGGTGCCCCCTGCTGACTTGCTGGGGACGCTGTCAACCTCAAAAAAGCCATTTTTAGAGGCTTGAGGCAGAAATGACTTGATTCATTATTGAGCTATAGTGTTGTTATTTGAGCTTTCTCATCCCTTTTGCTGGATCACGTTATGTGAAGGGAAGGGGTTGCTCTTTCCACCTCTAGGGTGTGTACCAGAGCATCCAACGGTGCAAGTACTTTAAGAGGTTCCTAGTCAATAGGTGAATCAGTAACGTGGAGTAAAGGCAATCTAGTGTGAAATGGGGAGAAAACGGGATTCTTTATTTTAAATTTTCACTAGATTGATTAATAAGGAATCTTCAACTACAGGTATGCAGACACACACACACACACACACACACACACACACACACACACACACACTGTGCCAGAGCCTAGCTAGGCAGACCAAGACTGTACTAGAGAAATGGAGGCCAATCTCATTTGAGAGGCAGCTTCGCTTTTACTCTCCTTTCTTCCTAATAACTCTTTAGTTTAAAAAGTAACGTGTTGCTGACCAAAAACAAAAGCACAAAGGTCAAAAACAAAATTTCAAACTAGTAGTTAAAAGTGTGAACTATACCTAGTTGCGTGGATTTGAGTCTTTTCTTTCCTTTTTTTTTTTTTTTTGATAAGGTTGGCTATGGGTTCGTCATTTTTATTTAATCTTTCAAAGAACCAACTCTTTGATTCATTGGTTCTTCAAATTTTTTCTTAGTATTCATTGCATTAATTTCTGCTCTGATCTTTATAATTTCCTCCCCCCTATGAGCTTTGGGCTTGACTTTTTCTAGAAGCTTGAGGTTCAACATTAGGTTGTTTATTTGAGCTTGCTCTGTTTTTCTGATATGGGAATTCACTGCTATAAATTTCCTTCCTAGTACTGTTTTCAGTGTATCCCATAAGTTCCCGCATCTTGTATTGGCATTGTCATTTAATTGTAGAAACTGTCTAATTTCTTCTTTAATTTTCAGTGTGACCCACTGGTTATTCAGGAGGGTGTTATTTAATTTCCATGTGTTTATGGGGTTTTTGTGGTTTCTTTTGCCATTGATTTCCAATCTCATTGCACTATGGTCTGATAATAGGCATGGGATAATTTCAATTCTTTTGCATTTATGTAAGCATGTTTTAGGAGCTAGTATGTGGTTTACTTTGGAGAATGTCCCATGTGCATCAGAAAGTGTATTCTGATGTTGTGGGGTGGAAAACTCTGTAGACATCTACTAAGTCCATTTATTCAAAAGTTTGGTTCAGTTCTGATATATCTTTGTTGTTTTTTTGTCTAGTTTATTGATTTGTGACAGTGGAGTATTGAGGTCCCCCATTACAATTGCATTAGTGCTTATTTGATTTTTCATATTTGTTTTATATAGTTAGGTGTGCTGGTATTTGGTGTGATTTCATATGTTACACAAGACAGTTT